ATTGAAATAAATCCATAATCTAAGAACTATTCTTCTCTGTTTATCTAACTTTTAATTATAATTATTTCGTATAAATAATGATTTTAAACTTATTTACCATACAAATGTCACAGGTTAACGATGATATAATCTTCGTTTCAAACGTTATCATGTGGTTCCAATTGGTATGAATCCGACCTCTAGTTGAACATAATTATAATTTTTTTTCTATTTTGATTTTTAGCAGTTTTTGACGATTTTATTAAGTTTAATTACCTGCTATAAGCCATGTCCTTGGGTTGAATTGATTTATTGTCTAATGCGACATTGATTTGATTTCTAAACAAAAACAAAAATATATTAATACATCATTTAAAATTAATAATATCATTATAACTATAAAATAAATGTGTTTTGGTGAATGTAAAAATAAAAATGTAAAATTAAAATAATAATGAGCAAAATATGCATATTAACAACCACAGTAAAATATGAAAGGTAACGAAATTACATAATTATTAAGAAACTTATGGTCTCAACCTCAAGTTGTGTGTAATAGACCTAATATTTTTCCAAAAAAAAAAAACTTGAATATTTTAAAAGTACCATGATTATTAAAAGCTACACAGATGAAGAAAAATTAACAGAGCTGCAAAAATACTGGTCCTTGAAATGTAACATGATAGCCAATGTTGGTATAATGATTAAAAAACAAAATTTTAAAATGTTTGTCTACTCCGTTCTGCCTTATGGAAGTCAAACACGGTATCTTACAATATACTAGGAAAATAAAATAAGAAGCAGGAAAAACACTGAAGAGAGAGGTATGGTTAACGTCAGAAGAAGGATGAGAAAAAATATATGGTTCTTTTTTAGTAAAAATCTCAAGAGTTTCTACTATTTTGTATCTCAATTTACACTGGATATTGTCTATGATGATATTGAACGGAACAAGTAAATTTGGTCATTATAACTAACAGCATAATGATTATAATGACCAAGATCACTAGAACCAATCTCTTGCCTTTCTATAACAGTAATGGTTGTTATACGCTTAGTTAAGTATGGCACAATTTAATCAAAATGTACTTATGCAATGCTTATGTACATATGCACAGAGCAAGAATAAAATAATCGATTTCCAATGCGTCACCATTTTGATTAAAATCTACATTAAAACACCCTCCTGAATGTACGCACTAGATATTTTGATCAATATAGTCAACAAGTCGTTACAACCTATATCGTTATAAACTATATCCAGTGTACTTGAAGCCTTTTCAGTACTAGTATGGTTTCTCAAACTCAGGACTGCATTATGCATTGATATAAATCAGTAATCTCAGAACTGTTCTCCTTTGTTTAATTCCCTTTAAATTATAATCATTTTGTATAAATAATAATTTTAAAATTATTTAACAATGAATGATACTAATTTTAAAGGTTAAAAATGATATTACCTTAATATAGAATGTCCTGTTTATAAAATTTCCGTGATTCCGTCCTCTCAGTGGATTTGAAGCCTTTTCAGTACTAGTATGGTTTCTCAAACTCAGCACTGCATTATGCATTGATATAAATCAGTAATCTCAGAACTGTTTTCCTTTGTTTAATTCCCTTTAAATTATAATCATTTTGTATAAATAATAATTTTAAAATTATTTAACAATGAATGATACTAATTTTAAAGGTTAACAATGATATTACCTTAATATAGAACGTCCTGTTTATAAAATTGCCGTGATTCCGTCCTCTCAGTGGATTTGAAGCCTTTTCAGTACTAGTATGGTTTCTCAAACTCAGGACTGCATTATGCATTGATATAAATCAGTAATCTCAGAACTGTTCTCCTTTGTTTAATTCCCTTTAAATTATAATCATTTTGTATAAATAATAATTTTAAAATTATTTAACAATGAATGATACTAATTTTAAAGGTTAACAATGATATTACCTTAATATAGAATGTCCTGTTTATAAAATTGCCGTGATTCCGTCCTCTCAGTGGATTTGAAGCCTTTTCAGTACTAGTATGGTTTCTCAAACTCAGGACTGCATTATGCATTGATATAAATCAGTAATATCAGAACTGTTCCCCTTTGTTTAATTCCCTTTAAATTATAATCATTTTGTATAAATAATAATTTTAAAATTATTTAACAATGAATGATACTAATTTTAAAGGTTAAAAATGATATTACCTTAATATAGAATGTCCTGTTTATAAAATTGCCGTGATTCCGTCCTCTCAGTGGATTTGAAGCCTTTTCAGTACTAGTATGGTATCTCAAACTCAGGACTGTATTATGCATTGCTATAAATCAGTAATCTCAGAACTGTTCTCCTTTGTTTAATTCCTTTAAATTATAATCATTTTGTATAAATAATAATTTTAAAATTATTTAACAATGAATGATACTAATTTTAAAGGTTAAAAATGATATTACCTTAATATAGAATGTCCTGTTTATAAAATTGCCGTGATTCCGTCCTCTCAGTGGATTTGAAGCCTTTTCAGTACTAGTATGGTTTCTCAAACTCAGGACTGTATTATGCATTGCTATAAATCAGTAATCTCAGAACTGTTCTCCTTTGTTTAATTCCCTTTAAATTATAATCATTTTGTATAAATAATAATTTTAAAATTATTAAAACAATAAATGATACTAATTTTAAAGGTTAACAATGATATTACCTTAATAAAGAATGTCCTGTTTATAAAATTGCCGTGATTCCGTCCTCTCAGTGGATTTGAAGCCTTTTCAGTACTAGTATGGTTTCTCAAACTCAGGACTGCATTATGCATTGATATAAATCAGTAATCTCAGAACTGTTCTCCTTTGTTTAATTCCCTTTAAATTATAATCATTTTGTATAATAATAATTTTAAAATTATTTAACAATGAATGATACTAATTTTAAAGGTTAAAAATGATATTACCTTAATATAGAATGTCCTGTTTATAAAATTGCCGTGATTCCGCCCTCTCAGTGGATTTGAAGCCTTTTCAGTACTAGTATGGTTTCTCAAACTCAGGACTGCATTATGCATTGATATAAATCAGTAATCTCAGAACTGTTCTCCTTTGTTTAATTCCCTTTAAATTATAATCATTTTGTATAAATAATAATTTTAAAATTATTTAACAATGAATGATACTAATTTTAAAGGTTAAAAATGATATTACCTTATATATAGAACGTCCTGTTTATAAAATTGCCGTGATTCCGTCCTCTCAGTGGATTTGAAGCCTTTTCAGTACTAGTATGGTTTCTCAAACTCAGGACTGCATTATGCATTGATATAAATCAGTAATCTCAGAACTGTTCTCCTTTGTTTAATTCCCTTTAAATTATAATCATTTTGTATAAATAATAATTTTAAAATTATTTAACAATGAATGATACTAATTTTAAAGGTTAAAAATGATATTACCTTAATATAGAACGTCCTGTTTATAAAATTGCCGTGATTCCGTCCTCTCAGTGGATTTGAAGCCTTTTCAGTACTAGTATGGTTTCTCAAACTCAGGACTGCATTATGCATTGATATAAATCAGTAATCTCAGAACTGTTCTCCTTTGTTTAATTCCCTTTAAATTATAATCATTTTGTATAAATAATAATTTTAAAATTATTTAACAATGAATGATACTAATTTTAAAGGTTAAAAATGATATTACCTTAATATAGAATGTCCTGTTTATAAAATTGCCGTGATTCCGTCCTCTCAGTGGATTTGAAGCCTTTTCAGTACTAGTATGGTTTCTCAAACTCAGGACTGCATTATGCATTGATATAAATCAGTAATCTCAGAACTGTTCTCCTTTGTTTAATTCCCTTTAAATTATAATCATTTTGTATAAATAATAATTTTAAAATTATTTAACAATGAATGATAGTAATTTTAAAGGTTAAAAATGATATTACCTTAATATAGAACGTCCTGTTTATAAAATTGCCGTGATTCCGTCCTCTCAGTGGATTTGAAGCCTTTTCAGTACTAGTGTGGTTTCTCAAACTCAGGACTGCATTATGCATTGATATAAATCAGTAATCTCAGAACTGTTCTCCTTTGTTTAATTCCCTTTAAATTATAATCATTTTGTATAAATAATAATTTTAAAATTATTTAACAATGAATGATACTAATTTTAAAGGTTAACAATGATATTACCTTAATATAGAATGTCCTGTTTATAAAATTGCCGTGATTCCGTCCTCTCAGTGGATTTGAAGCCTTTTCAGTACTAGTATGGTTTCTCAAACTCAGGACTGCATTATGCATTGATATAAATCAGTAATCTCAGAACTGTTCTCCTTTGTTTAATTCCCTTTAAATTATAATCATTTTGTATAAATAATAATTTTAAAATTATTTAACAATGAATGATACTAATTTTAAAGGTTAAAAATGATATTACCTTAATATAGAATGTCCTGTTTATAAAATTGCCGTGATTCCGTCCTCTCAGTGGATTTGAAGCCTTTTCAGTACTAGTATGGTTTCTCAAACTCAGGACTGCATTATGCATTGATATAAATCAGTAATCTCAGAACTGTTCTCCTTTGTTTAATTCCCTTTAAATTATAATCATTTTGTATAAATAATAATTTTAAAATTATTTAACAATGAATGATACTAATTTTAAAGGTTAAAAATGATATTACCTTAATATAGAACGTCCTGTTTATAAAATTGCCGTGATTCCGTCCTCTCAGTGGATTTGAAGCCTTTTCAGTACTAGTGTGGTTTCTCAAACTCAGGACTGCATTATGCATTGATATAAATCAGTAATCTCAGAACTGTTCTCCTTTGTTTAATTCCCTTTAAATTATAATCATTTTGTATAAATAATAATTTTAAAATTATTTAACAATGAATGATACTAATTTTAAAGGTTAACAATGATATTACCTTAATATAGAATGTCCTGTTTATAAAATTGCCGTGATTCCGTCCTCTCAGTGGATTTGAAGCCTTTTCAGTACTAGTATGGTTTCTCAAACTCAGGACTGCATTATGCATTGATATAAATCAGTAATCTCAGAACTGTTCTCCTTTGTTTAATTCCCTTTAAATTATAATCATTTTGTATAAATAATAATTTTAAAATTATTTAACAATGAATGATACTAATTTTAAAGGTTAACAATGATATTACCTTAATATAGAATGTCCTGTTTATAAAATTGCCGTGATTCCGTCCTCTCAGTGGATTTGAAGCCTTTTCAGTACTAGTATGGTTTCTCAAACTCAGGACTGCATTATGCATTGATTTAAATCAGTAATCTCAGAACTGTTCTCCTTTGTTTAATTCCCTTTAAATTATAATCATTTTGTATAAATAATAATTTTAAAATTATTTAACAATGAATGATACTAATTTTAAAGGTTAACAATGATATTACCTTAATATAGAATGTCCTGTTTATAAAATTGCCGTGATTCCGTCCTCTCAGTGGATTTGAAGCCTTTTCAGTACTAGTATGGTTTCTCAAACTCAGGACTGCATTATGCATTGATTTAAATCAGTAATCTCAGAACTGTTCTCCTTTGTTTAATTCCCTTTTAATTATAATCATTTTATATAAATAGTAATTTTAAAATTATTTAACAATGAATGATACTAATTTTAAAGGTTGACAATGATATTACTTTATTATAGAATGTATTATGGAAAACATTGCCGTGATTCCGACCTAAATAGACGAACTTCATTAGGGTTACCTTATTTTACATCTTTTATGTTTAGCATTGTTGCTGCTTATATTACCTTTAATCCATATTCTAGAAGCTTTTTTACTGAGGAATATATTTTCATCGATGACTGGTTAGTTTTCCTAAACAAAAACAATAATATATTAATAAATTATTTGAAGTTAATAATATCATTTTGACTATAAAATAAATACGTATTGGTGTATGTAAAAATATAAATGTAAAATTACACTAATGTAGACATATCATTAGAGTGCTACCATTGGTTAGTTTCTCAACAAGTGTTTTCACGTCATTATATCCATATGTTCAAATTTATTAAATGTATTTCTTTAATACAGTTGTAAATATCATTAAGAAATAAATAAATTTTATTTTTAGCATTGTTGCTGATTTTATTAAGTTTAATTACCTGGAAGAAGATTGTCTGTAATTTATCTATTAAACGTCCTTTTATTGGTTTTCGTTATCTTTTTCTAAACAAAAAAAAAAAAGTTTTTAAATACAATATTTGAAGTTAATAATATCAAATTACCTATAAAACAAATATGTATTGGTGTATGTAAAAAAATAAATGTAAAATTACACTAATACTGAGCAAAATTTGAAAATAAACTACCACAGTTACATTTAAAAGGTAACGAAAATACATAATTATTAAGCAACTTATGGTCCCTACCTCCAGTGGTGCGAAACAGACCTAATATTTCTGGGTTGTGATGTTTTAAAATGTTCAATGATGTTTTAAAAAAATAAATTTAATATGAATATGAGTGAAGTGAAAAAGATTTGCACGAAAGGTCAACGTACATCATGGTGGAGCAAAGAATTGAGAGCGCAAGTCTGGCAATAGAAAACAGCGTGGAAGGGGTACTGTTGGGACAAAACCCCAGAGAAATGGCAAGCATACGTGTTGGCCCGAAACAAGACAAAAGAAGCAGTAAGAGTGGCGAAACAAAAATCATAGGAAGAATTTGAAAGAGTTTTGAAAATTTTGAAATTGAAAGTTGGATCCGGATCATCGGGAAAATATCAGGATTTTCAGGAAAAAAATTAAAGCTCTGAAAGGACGTAAAAGCAAAGCAGTGAGAAACATGCAGATTGAAAAAGTTAAATCTTGGAGGTCTGGAGACATCATTGCATGAATCAGTTTGGTATTGATGATCACCGTTCAACCAAGAGAAAGAGTACGACGAAGTGGTTGAGGAAGAAGAACTAGAGAGAGCAATAAACAAAATGAAAACATCAAAAGAGCCAGGACGGGATGGTGTTGTAGCTTAATTAATAAAGAATAGAGGCTCTGAGCTGGTGAGAACATTGCAAGTCCTTTTACAGAAAGCCTGGGACGAAAAAAGGATTCCAACGGATTGGGAATATAATATTATAATACTAATTCACAAGAAAGGATGTCAGGCAGAATGCTTTAACTATCTGTTTATATAGTTATAGTTATATATAGTTATTATTATTACTGGCTATAATAATAAGCCAGTTGCGTACAAGCTATATACATTCATATTGGTGGGTCGCTTAAGACCACTAGTTGAGCACCTAATAGGAGAAGATGGGTTCAGACCCGGGCGCCAAACCCATAACCACATTATGTACCTAACTTTCTTTGAGCTCATTTGGGAAGCTCTCAGAGCGAAGAACGTTCCGAGAAACCTGACAGAGGCAATTAAATCTATATATCAAGAGCCCAATGGAATAGTCAGGCTGAACGGGCAAGAATCAAATTATTTCAGTATTGCAAAGCCGGTCAAACAAGGAGGCAGCCTAAGCCCTTTGTTGTTCTTGTTGTTCGTGGATGAAGTGGCATCTATTTGTAAAAGAAGAACGAACAAGACATTCCTATGACGTTGGAATCTTAATCCTGTTGTGATACTGCTTCTCCTCTACCCCGATAGTATTGATTACGGACTCAGTGGAAAAGTTACAATTTACAGTTATGGAATGGTATGAAGAGTTCCAACGAAAAGGGATGCTTATAAATACGTACAAAAGTAAGATCCTACAAGTTGGAATAAAGAAGGAAAATATCCACATATACTGTAATGGGGAAGAATTAGAAGTGGTGACAGACTTCATATACCTGGGATGGTAGACGCAGAAATATCTAACAGGATTAACAAGAAAAATGCAGTTCACTACCAGGTATATAACACTGTGGTAGAGAACAGAGAAGAAGACAAAGACGTCAAGCTACGCATCTTCAAGACAGTATGTGTACCCATACTTTTTTATGGAGCAGAGAGTTGGGTATTAACAGACCGACAGGAGAGCAAAGTCACCGCTAATCACCGCCCTAGGATGTGCTATTTCGACAACATGGAGTGACTCTGTAGGGCGAGGGAGAAGGACCTCCGACAGGCTAAGAACCTAACTAGAAATAGGGAAGAATAGAATTCCTGGCTGAATGCAAATCTACACTGAGAGGCATTAAAGATGAAAGCTAAAGAAGAAGAATATGAACATTATCTCACTCACCGATATCCTCTGGAACCATAATTTGTCTGTTCAAAGACTTTTTTAGAGCATGATTTTTTGATTTTCAACTGTTTAGTGCTTCTTTTTTTTGTGAGATTATGTCAAGTGCATCTGTGTTATTTTGTAGAAAACCTGAATTATTTAAAATAAAACTATGAAAAGAGAAGAGGGAAATTTTTTTTTATTGAATAAATAAGAACTTCATACTTACCAACATACCAACATACTGCGATATATTTTTATACGCATGGTTTGACGAGGAGTGTATCCAGGCCAATAGTCAGAAGAAACATACTTGACCTTCAGTTGATATCTATCAACAGCACAGGAAGAAATAATTAGAATTAGAAAGAAATATCTGAATTGCTTCCAATGGTCATAAATTTATAGTATTTCAGAAAATATTAAACAGTTTGATAAAGTATTGTTTTGAACCTTTTATAATTGCAGTTCTCTTCAAAGTAGATGAAATGGAGATACATGACATGTTTCTTCTTTAAAAACTTTTTAGCAGGACAAGGATGTAAAATAGAACATAGTAATCACAACCTTTATTTATGCGGTTAGTCTTAATATTTCCAGGAAATGCTCTAATTTCAATTTGTTTTTTGAGCTTAAACTTAAGAATACCTATACGAATTTCATATCTTTCAGATCTTTTAAGGTGTTGCAAGCAGGACCTAAAATAAAACAATAGGAGGAAAATAATCAAAACAATTACATTGTTTTAGAAGCTAGAAATTTTAAAATACTCCAAGATTATCATTTGTCTCATCTATTAATACAAGTGCTAAACCAATTTAATTACAATACTAAGTTCAAAATACATTTTGTTTGTTTATTTAAATGTTAAGTTCTTATTCGACACTAAAAGCTCACAAATGACAGGTTACCATTCATCTTAGCAAATCGGAATAACCAGAGAGGGTCTCAGCTTTTTACATCACTTACATCCTGTTAAAATTTTCCCTTAACTTCTTAGGGCACCATTTCTTTCTCAATGCAGACTTGAATGGAAAACACTAACGAACAGGAATCAGAGCCCCTAATTTCCATTGTAACTGCATACTCTGAAACTTTTGACAGATACTCCTATATATTTGAGGCCAAGATGGGCAAGCATGTTGCTTATCTTAGCATTCTCGAGTCTAGGGACAACAGTTCGAATCCGGCCAGGGCGAGTTGAAATTTATTGCATAGTGAAAATAAAGTACTTAAAAGCAAATCTGCACTGGCACATTTCTGGGTATTGCTGAAGCTTTTGATGGGGTATGGAAATGCAGCTTGCTTTTCCAAGCTCAAAATTTGTTTATCGCAATACTGATACTAAGTCCTTAGAGATTCTAGTTTGCTAATTATTTGTCTCTGTGGAATTGAATATTCCAATTGTTACCTAGTAGACTGGCATTCTGCAAGAATGTATATTGGGTCTTGTTCTCTATATTTTCTTCACTGAAGATATTATTACTAACCATAGACGCCGACTTATGAAAATTATTGGGAGAACCAACCTATAGGATCCCGGGATGGAGGGCTTGAGAGGGTGGGGTATTGTTTGGAATATATCCTATATGCCTATATGCAATATATAATACATAAAAAATTACCATCTCAGGCAGGCAATGAGTTGTTTCAAGCCCTTCCTGATGACAAAAAAGTGTTAAGTCAAACAAAACACTTTTAACTAAAAAAGTACAAAATTTTAATAGATGATTCCATTAACAGTTTAGGTGAGTTTATGAATCCACAATAGAATACCGATAAACAAAATCTAAAGTACATGATAGTAGATAGATACAGCCCTTTGTAATGGAATTGTAATGTGAACGATTGATATGTTCATGATCATACTTACTATAGGACGGCTGAGCCCTCACCACAGTAGCATTGGGGAACTCAAGCCAGCCTAGCTAGCCCCTAGTACTTAGCGCCTATGCTACTAAACTACATAAATTTATGGAAACGTTTTATTTATGATACTGCCATCCAATCATTAGATTCAAACCACTCAATTTCAAAACTATCTTCATTATTTAACCATTTGTGCAATAATCATCATGGAGTATC